TTCAATGATTTACCGTTTCATTAAATTAAATGGATTCATTGTTTTGAATTTGAAAAACGAAAGCAATAAAAGCATTGACAAAATCTTTACATAAGCTCTAGCTTTATACTATTCCTTTTACAAATTCTGTTCATTCAAAACTAATAATTTATAGCACCTATCTGATTCGACCTTCAATAGAGGCTGTAGATGCAGCAAACAAAGATGTAAAAAATGATGATAATGAGGAAAAATGTGAGGAAAAATCATTGAAAGACGTGATTTATGGACAATCTGAAGAACTGGTCACAACTGATATTCGGAATCAACCGGAGAGTTTAACAACACCTCAAAGTATTATTCAAATGATTAGCAGACAAGTTCGCTTTGCTATTTTGATTCGTGAAGCAAATATGTATTTTTTTAAGAACATTCATGACTTTTTTTTATTTAATACTGACTCAGGAAAAGTTTATTTTGATGTGCTAAAGTTCATTTCACTTTCAATATGATTTCCATCATAATGAATGGGAAAGTCTTAGATTCCATAATGATGTAATGACGCTTAGTAAAAGGATTATTATTGTTTTTTTCTGAAGAAGAAGCTTACGAAAAAATAAATTGGTAAATTTATGAAATTTGGTTTAGTTGGAACATGCACAAGAGCTTTTGAATGAAAGTGAAGCAACAAATGCGAGATTGGTAGAGCAAACGAAACTTTTGAAGGAAGAGATTCGTAGAATGGAACGTGATAAGGAGCGTGAAAATCATTTGTCTAATACTGAGTATTTGAAGAATGTTATCATGAAGGTAAGCGAAAATTTGATCATGATTTGAATCTATACAATTAAAATCTTATGCGAAATTCTAACCGCTCATTTTGATTTTTAATGTGATTTTCGATAGAGTATAATCTTTTACCCCAAATGCTTTCATTGTTGTTCTGCACAGAAGTGTTATGGCGTAATTTTAATGTACTGGCTAGGTCTATCGGGGTAGTTTCTCGAAACCTAATTTGTAATATAACCATACAAATTCACTATATAATTCATTCTTTTAAATCCAAATATTACTTTAATAGCCATATTGTTACTGCCATGCTTATATGGCAATATTAACACCTATCCAGATGTTCTTAGAAGGAATTATGATTTTTGCTAGTTCATTGCACCGGAAAAAGTCACCGATGAACGTGGTCATTTGATACCTGTTTTGACAACAATGCTGAAACTAACCAATGAGGAAGTGAATTTGCTCAGTCAGGTAGCTGAAGGTAAATTTTTCGTCTTTTGCTAACCACTGCAAGTTAAAAATTGTTTTAAACAGTTACATGAATTTTTGTATACATATTATCGAAAGAAATTGAAATTGACCAAAATTTAAACGAAATGGAAAATATATTATTGAATGCTGAAAGTAGTCGTTTTGCTTTACTTGCAAATTT